AGACCAGAAGTTGGCTAAATAGCGCACATCTTCCCAGTTGCTAGTAGTAAAGCAAGAACGTGGCAAGCTAACAACAGTTAAACTAAACAATAAACAACAGAAAAATCCTTCAGCCGCGGGAAGTAAAGATTGGAGGAGATTCTGGTCACTGGTATTAACTTAGTGCAAATTAATTAAATATTTAAATAAACCTACTGACATGATATCAGTGTATAGAGGCATAACTTTAGCTTGAACATACACAAACAACTATAACTATTATCACACCAGTTAACCTGTCAAAGGTAATAACACTTACTGTTTCATTAACGCACACCGAATCACACAAACTGCGTTACAACTGCTCTGCGCCGTCTCTCACCCTCTGCGTGACGCGCACATGATCACTGATGCGCTCATTTGGGTGCGCTTGATTCTTGCCTCTAGACATCCTGAGGCCGAGTCAGCAGGGGATTTGCACATATATCATCCACTTATAAAGTACTCTGACAGCCATGATTCACCCGCATTTCTTTAACCTGTGCAAGAAGCTGGACGATCTTATACTTTTTATAAGTGGTTTTGCACATTACTTCCTCCAAGACTAAAAAAGGTCTTTCTAAGGATTTGTTTTGGACATGGAGTTCATTTTCAATCATTTTCAATGCGATCCTCGTACCATCTGCAGAATAATGTTTAATGCTTTCTTCAGCCTCTTCAACAGTGACGTATGAATCACTTGAGAATAAAAAGGTACCTATTAAAGAAATGAAGCAGTGTTGATGATTTCAAAAGAGATATTAGCCCAAATGTTTGCAAATCAAGCATTGATTGGAGTGTGTACATAAAAAGGAGGAAACCAGACAAGCAGAGAACAAACGAGAACTGGCAAGTCTAATAAACTATCCACATGCCGGCTTGTACACATACACGAGAGACACGAGAGACACGAGAGACACGAGAGACACGAGAGACACGAGAGTTCTTCTTTACTGATGTTTACTGTGCTTCTTTAACGTACGCAGGTACACCGTAGAACTGGTGAATACAAACGTACAAGAAAATTATGTTTCAGCATTAAAACATATTGCAACATAAAATTCACTAAATATAAACAAACATACCACTTTGGCCTGCAAGTAGACAAACCGGTGTAACTGGAACTTAGGACTTATTATTTCTTCCTTAGCTTGACTTTTACACGGCTAGACCGTCACCATGAGCAGCTTCTCTGACCTTACTTCCCAAAACAGGAAGTGACCTCTGCCCTTACCTTATACTTACAAAATTAACCGGTTATTTTCCATGTATCAAATTAACTGTACACCAATCCGGTAGGCAAAAAAGGAAAATGTTAACATGCTCAACACAAAAATAAAACATACAAAATAAAATGTGTTAATTACATTATCATTACAAGAGCTCCGCCTAGTGGTCAAATACTAACATTTCACCAACTGTTACAATCCACATCTACTAACCTCAGTCTCAATTCATTCTTTCTGCATGAGCTGTGATCCAATCTAAATCTGGACGTGGATACGATCCGAGGTACTTAAACAACACACACAAGACTCTTTCTAGAGATGCCTACCTTGAGTCTTGGAGCTTTTCTCTTCCAAACAGCAGTCATTGAAAATGAATCAATGACTGCTGAATTATGACGACTGCATTGTCTCACCATGATCACAAGATATGCATTAATAGACTGCGAATACAAAATGTAAACATTAACTGTTGTCAAGGATTAAAACACTGATAGTTGCATTGTTGTCAGTGAAGATCACTGTACCTCACTTTCAACTCCAC